TGGTTCAATCAGACTTGCACGATAACACACCAGCCACTCTACATGGCGGTTTCATTGACAGTGGAGAATAGAGACGAAATGAGGCAAATTTCAGGAGCAGGTCTTCATCAATGTAAACCGTATCACAGCCAACTATGCTATATACCTCGATTCTCAGCAGACAACATCCAAGGTCCAGAGTGTGCTAGAAAGTTGTATGAGGGCACAACTGTCCAGCAACTAGCCCAATACTGTCCAATGAGTTGTCACTCAGCAACATCAATGATAATTTCGGAAATATCTGAAGAAGTTTATATGTTGACACACCCTAAAAAGGGGTTGGAGGTCACGTGCAGAGAGAATAAATCCTATAAACTCAACCCAGAGCATCCTCATCAAGGGTCGATTAAGGTGAAATTACCTTGTAACTGTCAATTACAGTCAGAAACGGACATAGTCATTCCAAAACGATTTCCATGCCCCGACTTTTTGGTGTCGTATGACGCTCAAATAACTCACATTATCCCAGCAACATGGTCTACATTAAAATCATTTCTTTTGAATCCAAAATCAAACTACCTTTCACCTACTTATAAAAACATGTCGGAATGCCTCAACAATAATTGGACTCTCCATATACCTCACGTTAACCTAACTTCAAGTGAAACAACAGAGAAAAATATAATTAGTCTAATTCGACAAACAATTCCAATGAACTCTAATAGTTACACTAACGGATTCCATTCGGACACATTATTCCTATGCTGGAATATTGTCCTCTCATTTCTAGTTGTTTACCTATTATTTAAAAGCACAAGTGTGACACTCACTACGCCACTTTTCACAAGGACTAATGGTCAAGAAATTACCGCAAACACGACACATGACGCAGTAATGGGCCTCATTTATACTTGCTTCACGATATTCATTCTATTCCTGATACTACGTCTTGTTTATTTTTACTACAAAAGGACCTCCAAGAAACCCAGAAATGACAGACAAACAATTGAAAAGAAAAATGAAGAGACTTACGCACAAGACAGAGAACTTAACGAAATGACCTCGAAGGGTAATTTTCAAATAACTCTAAAATCAGAAAGGAATAATACTTTAAGATATAGCCTTGAAATTATAGACGATAAAGACATCCGATCACTGTCCCCTGGTGATAAAGTAAAAGCTGAAATAGAGCTTGTTAAAATAGACGATTGAATGCCCCGTATAAAGGGAGTATTCCTGAGATACTTAAGTATGCCCTACTTATCTCAGATTTTTAAGAAATAATTTATTAATTTTGAAATATTGAAGAATTTGTCAAATAAATTATAGGTACCTAAATATAATTACGCGTACTAGTGCAAAAAGATTTGCTTTTTTATTTAAGTCTAAGCCATCAGCGCACAAATTGGTATTAGAATAAATATCAGAGTAAATAGTACGATAAATGCACTAGATTTTTATGCAGGCGCCTGACGTGAATAAATAAATATATAATAATTATATAAAGTATACAAACTGATGTTTAATAAATATGTATAATAAAGTTTATAAAAAAGGTCGTAGGTAGGGGACAGAAGGGCATACAACTGGATCGGATTGTTCTGAGAAATCCTACGACAAAATTATAAGAAAATATAATTTTTTTTTTTTTCTCTATTTTGAACTATGAAGTAACGCATTAATTTTTTTTCCTTTCTGTACGAAAATAAACTTGAATACCTACGCATTAAATAAAGCGTACACCTTGCCTTATTACGGCAAATATTTAGTCAAAGTTTCTTTACCTTATACTTATACATTTAAAAATGGTTACATTTTTTTTATTAATATTTTTTAGTTGGTTTAAGGTTTTCATTTATTTATAGGATATAAGCTCAATTAATAGCACATACTCACACTTTGTTCTTTTTTTTCATGTAAAATACCTGCCAACGCAACGCTTTTCCTGCCATAAGGATTCCACATTCCAACATCAAGACTCCAAGATCGTTCAACAGGAGACCACTACATTGACCACCGGCATTGATGCACACACGTTCAGGACAAAAACCTGTAATTTATTCCAATACCTGACGCACCTGGCGCATTGAATCCGACAATTCAATTCAATGCCAAATGGTTCATTGAAGATCCAGACTCCAGAGTATCAGCACAGCAAACAAAAATTCGAGACGCAAAGACCTCGATAACATTGACCAGATGCTGTTGTGTTAACCATCATTCCACTTTACCATGGGAAATAAAACCACCACCGCCCAAGATTAGGAAATGTTAAACCTAATCTCAGGACACAAAAGTTTACTATAAGCCAGTAGCATCAGTTATAATGCACCATCAAAAGTAAACAAATAACATGACCCAGAAGCTAACCGGGATGTAGGTCAAGTTCAGGCCACTAAAGCATAAACACCGTCGTCCGCAAAGCAACTTAGCGCTCGGCGGGAACTATCGATCGAACACCTATTGATCGAACGTTGTGTACCAAAGTCAAATACCACATACTCCGCACCCCGAACTCATCATTTGTTACCAGTGCTGGTAAAGCCATATGGTCATATTGGTCACAACCAATGACATCCAACGCATTCAAATTGGTTCATTCAATGGTTTGGAAGCTACGTCAAAGCCAGATACCAGACGCCGCTAGCAGTAGCAGCAAGCCGGTCAGAAAAATCAGCAAATGGAAGAAATCAGCAAATGGAAGAAATCAGCAAATGGAAGAATCAGCAAATGGAAAGAACAGGAAAAGGCACACTTCAATTTTATTTATCAAAATTGTTAATTTTTTTTTCTCTCTCAGCGTTTTGGCAAGGTAATCAATATTATTATTTAATTTTTTCTCTCTCTCTTTCAATGTATACTCAATTTTCCATAAGTATTTTTTATGTGTAGGTATGTTTCTGTAAATTATATATTTTTTTTTTGTAGGAATTATTAATAGAAAATGTAGGTACTTAGGAGAATTTAATTGGGTTTAGTAACCATTAACTTTTAACTTTTAGGTTTTAGTTTTAACTTTAACTTTTATCAAATTGTACTTGTAACTTGTATCAATTTTGCTTTGTTTTTATAATTAATTCTTTTCTTTTCTTTTAAAATATTTGAATTTTTTTTTTAAACGCTATGATTTAATTTTTTTTTTTTTTTTCTTTCTTCTTTTTTAGATCTTTATCGCTGGAGTCCAGCTTTCTGTAGTCCGAGGGAAATGTCAAGCCAAAAAATATCACCCTTTATAACATTATTATTCCAATACGAATTAACCAAAGTTCATTGACTAATAATGTCCCAATTTAGTTGCGCAATTCGGATGTTATATCAAATAAAGCAAACGCACTCAGAGTCAGCAAAAGCTTAAAGCCAACAACCTAGGTTTTAGGTCAATGATTTTTTGCTGACATTTCTGAATCGATTTGGATCGATAAAGCGTAATTTTCAAGTCAGTTGTAAATCTGAATTCGGGCGTTAAAGTCGAAAAAGTTGTGCTACGGGCTAACGGGCTACAGGAAGATGGGATTCCGGTAAGGACCATTGTTAAACTTTAATAAATCCTCTAGTGTTCTCATCGGCCATCATTCACAACATTCACACTACTGTTCTTAATTTAATTATTGATTTTGAGAATAAATTAATATTTTTCTTGGTGTTACAAAACTTGATTGTTTTAATCTCTCAGATTCCCCCCGGTCCCTAGTTGCAACTAAATAAGATTGCAACAGTCTCAACCGAACAGGGCTGCGACAATATCGTGAAACGATAATCGTTAAAATTTCAATGCCAAAAAATAAGATACTTCATAAATGAAACAAAAAGTCACACCAAAACACTTTTTATTTTGATATTCTTAAATGTGAACAGAAATCATAGTGGCCTTAAACGAAATATAAAAAAATAAAATAAATTCAGGTACTAATATTGCAAAAAGAAGGTATAGTATTTCCAAACTCAATTGGAACAAGGTACCAACTGTAAGAAATGCAATGCCTTTAGCGAGCCACCAGTTACCCACACAACACATAACATCCCCAGGATATTCTAGGAAAGTCGGAATATCCCACTACAAGATCATCCTGCTAACGATATCTATAGGTTATTCTCTAGACATCCTAAAATCCAGTAGATGTCTTAGAACAGGATGTTTTGTAGATATCTTAGTCATATATCTTACGGATATCTAGCTAAGATAAATAGGGGTGCTCGATAAAATTAAATATCCTTACGACATCGCTGCGATATTTGAAAAAAAAAGTAATTATGTACGACTTTTTATGTTGCGTAATTTGTAAAACTGTGAAACCATTTCCTATAATTATATCTTACAACATAGTATTTTTATTTCCTTCGTCAGCTTTTACTTGGCATCGAGTAAACACAAGATATCCTGTTAATATCTTATGGATTTTTTTTTGCCTATTGCGTTAGTCACTCCCATGAGTCCCACTTTCAATTTCAAATTACCCGCGTAAATAATTTCCCACAATCCAAGCTTGACATATTTGCCTTGGCGCGCTTGGCCGCTCCCCGCTCCAAAACTAGTCAATTTTATTGGTAGAACCCGTGCAGGAAAAATTTATTTTCATCTCTTTCTTATACAAGCTGTTAGAAAAAGACACGAATACACTCCGTGTGCACTAGCCCCTTCAATATAAATCGCTATATGTCATGTCAACGGCCAGGCCGGCGGCATGCGGCATTGATTGTAATTGCAAATGGTGGACGGACGCCGTGTTTTGTAAATTCGTTGTTTTCGGTGGAAATTCAAGTTTAAAGTAATTTTTTTTCTTTTCTAGGAACTACAAAGTCGACTACAAAGTTTTTCGCTGTGGTGTGGAATATTTGAATTTTATTTAACTCGATATTTATTAACTAATTTTGAGTTCAAAGTTTTTACGTGTTTGTGTTTCTTGTTTGTGTTTCTCGGGCTGTGTGCTGTGCTGTATTCTATAATACTGTAAGTAAATAGTGTTAATTAAAAGTTAGAACATTGATATTATAAGAAAGCCTACCTAAATCTAATTCACAAAATGCCCAAATTTAAAAAAAGTAAGTCTTCTTTTTACCGGACTCTGAGACAAGATTCTTTAAATGTGACTTCTCGTGTGACTGCCAGTACTTCTAAATTTAATGTTAGGGACGATATAGTGCCAATAGTTGCAGGAAGTGCAAGTCAAGAGACTGCTGGGTCATCAAGTTTGGAGAACCATGCTCAATGCTCGATTGAATGTGGCCCCCATCCAGTAGTTTCAAAGTTAAACCCTTCTTTAATTAGCGTATGTGATGAAGCTACTGCAATCACCATTCCTAATAGTTGTGTGCCATTAGAAGTGCCATTTGAGTTACTTAGTAATAATGATAATACTGAAATAGAGTCTGAAAATGACTCCAGTGAAGACCCAATTATTCTCGAAAGCGACGAAAGCACTAATGAGCCTGCTTGCATGTCCTCCCAGAACGAAAGCACTGATATGCCACAGCAACTGCAGCAATGGGCTCTCTCAAATAAAGTAAATAACATGGCATTATCTAATCTGTTGAAAATTTTAAAACCACATTTTCCAAATTTACCATTGGATGCTAGAACCTTATTAAAAACACCTAGAAAGACTTTGACCAGGTTGATGGATCCTGGTGAGTTTTATTACTTTGGCATAGAAAAGCAGGTTATCAAACTTCTTCAAAGGCATTATAAAACAATTTCCAAACAAATCATATCCTGTGAAATATTGGTGAATGTAGATGGTTTGCCTATAAGCAAAAGTTCTGGGAGTCAATTGTACCCAATATTGATTTCTCTTCATGATTCAGATCTTGTGACTGTTGTTGGACTTTATCATGGGTACGAAAAACCTAAAGACTCCAATAATTTATTGAAAGAATTTGTTGAAGAAGCTATCGGTCTTTCTAATAATGGGGTTTGTTTCATGAACAATATTATTCCCTTCAAAATTAAAGGTTTTTTATGTGATACTCCTGCAAAATCTTTTGTTAGGTATACTAAAGGTCATAACGCCTATAATTCATCTACCAAATGTTGTCAGGAAGGATCCTATATAAATAACCGTATATGTTTTACTGATATAGAATTTATTAAACATTCAGATGAAGATTTTTTGCTATTACGTCACGAGGAACATCACACAGGAACCTCTATTCTCACTAATTTACCAAATTTTGGATTAGTTTCCTCATTTCCGTTAGATCCTATGCACCTAATATTTTTGGGTGTTATGAAAAAACTTCTCGTAGCATTGTGGTGTGAAGGAAAACCTCCTTATAAGTTATCAAGTAGAAATTTATCAGTCATGTCAGAAAGTTTATTGCAATTAAGAAAGCACATCCCATTAGAATTTTGTAGGAAACCAAGGGGTTTGAATGAAGTTAAAAGATGGAAGGCTACTGAATTCCGGCAATTTTTGTTATATACAGGACCATTGGTAACCAAAAGTAGTTTGGAAAAAAAAATATTATCAACACTTTATGGTTTTACATACAGCAGTATTTATATTATCTAGTTCAGAACTAACCGAAGATAAATTAGTCTATGCAGAGAGTCTCTTGGAATATTTTGTTAAAAAGTTTCCCGTTCTTTATTCTGTTCAATATATGTCACATAACATTCATAATTTGTTGCACTTGACTGATGATTGTCGACATTTTGGAAATTTGAACAAATTTAGCGCCTTTCAGTTTGAGAACTTTTTACAAGTTTTAAAGAAATTAATAAGGAAATCTGATAAACCCCTAAAACAAGTAATTAATCGGATAAGTGAAATCAAGAATGTTGAATTAAGAATCCCCTGTCTCAAAAATAAACATAATCAACCAAGAACTCATGCCTCAGGACCTCTTCCTAATGGCTACTATAATCCACAATATATTGAACATTTCTTCCCAAATTTTACAGTGAAAATAATATCACCTGATAATTGTTGTGGTTTAGCAAATGGTAACATTATCAATGTTGAAAATTTTGTTACAAGCCTTAAAAACGAAGTTAGGATAGTAGGAAGAAAATTTAAAAATATTGGTGATTTTTATGAAAAACCATGTCCCTCTTCAGATCTTGGAGTTCTTGAAGTCTCAGAATTGGATGATAATTTAGAAATTTGGCAATTAAGTGAAATAAAATTAAAGTATGTCAAACTGCCTATTTCTAAAAACAAATTCATTGTTTTTCCTTTATTGCATATTTAAGACAATCTAAAATCAATTTAGTATTCATAGCTATTTATACAGGGAGTTTGGTGCATCGTTTGCCAAATTCAACTGGCTGGAAGACGGGGCCATTTGCTTAGGTACTCTTCAGCCATAATAACTCATCCGTGACCCCACGGGTTTTTTTTTTTTTAATTTGATTTTTTCTATTTTTTTTTTTTTTGAATCTCAAAATTCGCTGTTTAAACTTAAATTAAAAAAGAAGTTGTTGGCCTAGCTTCCAAATTTGAGTTTTATTTTAATATGTACTATGGTAAGGTTCCACCAAATACAAAATTACTTGCCAATAGCTTCTAGTCTTTTTATTATTAACTAATAAAATTTTTGAAACAGGTAAAAATAAATTGAAAAGTGAAATTTGCAATGCAATGAAAAAAAAAAACTAAAGTCGATCGTGATCTTCGAATTCTCTCAAAAAGTTCTCTAAATGGCCCCGTCTTTTGGCCAGTTGAATTTGGCAAACGATGCACCAAACACCCTGTATAGCAAGCTGTATAGGTACAAACAAACAAATATAGCGGAAAGCAGCTATAAATAAGTAATGGGTGTTTTTACAACTCGTTTTACAATTTTTGCTTTTTTGGTTCTCTGGCATGGTTTTGATAAAATTCTTTGTACCATTTCAACTTTAATATTAATACAGATATAATACACTGATTTATGTTTTAATGTTTTGTCTTTTGTCCTTTTATATTGTTATTGGGTATTTCAGGTTTTTTAAAGCGCTGTTAAAGTATTGAGTTAAATAGTTTTAGCCTAATCCAGCTATTTTTCAAGTTTGAGTATTTTTTTCCATGTACATATTAGGCTCTAAGTAGGTATCAGAAAAGGAAAGCTTTTTATTCCACCAATTCAAACGTCTTCAAATAAAAAATAGCATTGCCAATTCATTTTCATCTAGTTTCACAAGGTTTCACACACTGTCCTGATGCTGGTATAATTTTTACTTGTGATATAAATTGATAACTACTGGTATTGGGTATGTATCTTCTGTAGGTGAGAAGTTTATTACTAGGTATCTTTTTTAGCAATATCATGGTATTGGCATGGCATATAGTTATGTTCGTGGAAGAAGAGAGGGTGGAGGTCTTTCCAAAATGTTGGGTCATTAATAATAATCTGGGTTACTGGCCTAACCAGAAAAAAGCTAGTGGCATACTGCCATTAATTAAGGGCTGTTCCATGCCAGAAAAGGACAAATGGGATGTGGTCCGTATCCGTATTATTAAAAAGAATAAAATTTATGGTGAGTACGTTTAAATAGTTATTTGTGTAACTAGGGCAAAAAGTCTATTTTGTTGCAAGCTGCATGAAGTTTTCAGCTCGAGCCTAACTCAAGAGTCCCAATCATGCTGAGTGCAGCAAATATGCTTTTTACACATGTTACACATGTTTGTTATTCACACTAGTAAGTTACTGCAAGCCAGACCAAAGTAGAACTGTGTTTTGTTTATGTTGGCAGTATTTTATTACAATGTTCTGGCCACCATCCACTTATTTTTCCATAAAATTGACTGGTTTTTATATAAAATAAATTGAAACTGCCTTCACAATTTTTCTGGCAACTTTAACTGAAAAAAAGATTTTGCTTTATGTTTTTAAAATAGGTTGGTAAATTTTTAGATGATTATGCACAGGCATCTCTGGCTGCCTCCAAAGCTTGCTATAAAACAGACGTTGATGAATCCACTGAATGTGATGAAAATACTAAAACTCCTAGCTCCTCAAAGGGTAGACGAATTATTTATAACAAAAAATATTCACAAGAAGATGAAGCGTTTGACAGTGATGATATTGAGAGTAGCGACTCATTAGAGTCAATTCCATCCAAGCCTCTCAGAGGTACCTACCGAGGTAACTACCTACCATTTTTATTTTTTTATAAGCGTTTTCACGAGTTTTGGTATGAATGTGGTATCATGAACCATAACACACCACTCGTTTTCACGAAGTGTTTCGGTATGTCATTTGACAACCTGGTTTCAATTCGGTCCGTCAATCTTCTAACCATCTCGGGATGATGGTATGAAGATGCGGTATGAGACGTTGAGGCTAGATTTTGGCTTGTTTATGAAATTATGAATTTTGTAGATTTGGTTTTAGTTCTGTGTTATCATAATTTAGTTTTAGTGAGTTTATTGTTCGACAATGCTCAAAACATGTCTCCAAAAAAGTCCTTCTCTTCACAGCAAAAGGAAACTCATCACTGAAAATCACCATTTAGCTACGGCTACAACTTGCAAAAAATCTTTGGTGTTCATTTTTAATTAAAAATTTCGAAATTTGAGAGCAAACATCAACAAACAACGACGAAATTATACCAAAACATTTCACAACCTTCTGATAGTTCTGCTGATACCGATCGGTTTCAACTGACGTTAATGACAGACCAGAGAGTAACCCGGTAGCAAATGGTTTCATGATACAACTCCGTGAAAACGCTTTGTATTTAATTATAGCTGAAACCAGGAAAGATGATGATTATTATGTCATACCAGCAAATCCCATAGGATTATGCTTAGGCCCAGTTGTACAATCCAGGTTCAAACAGAGGTTAAGTTGAACTCTACTGGTACTTGAACTTTCCCATTTGAAGTGCATTGCTGTCAATAAATTTACATTTTGGCATATTTCTGACAGCAATGCATTTTAAATGGGATGGTTCAAGTACCAGTAGAGTTCAACTAAATCTCTGTTTGAACCTGGATTGTACAACTGGGCCTTAGTTTCATTGATGACTTGATTGTTATCTTTCGGTGTCAACGTCAACTCTATTTGAGGACATATTAGTTTCTATGAAGTCGATTTTTCCTTATTAATAATTGTCATATTCAGCTATGGGTACTCAATTGACACCCTGAATATGTTTTAGGTAAAGATGACTCTAAAACCAAAAAGCTGATGAATGAAGAAGCTTCGGTAGTGGTTGATCCATCCAGAAAAGAACATGAAGGTACCATTATTTTTTTCTGTATGAACTTTAATATAAAAAAAAATACGATTATGCAAATTTGTAATTTGTTTAAGACCCCATGTTAAAGACGACAAGTCATAAAAGCATAAACAGTCAGAAGTTGCTTGATGAACAAGAACACATTGGTGGAAAAGCAAAAAAAGGCAAATCCCAAGGACATGATAATGGTAGGGCGCTTTCAAGTTACTTTTTCATTGTAATGTTTCTATTGTGTCTAGATCTTCAGAAGAAGAAATAGAATTTTACTATGTATATTATTTGCTTTTAGAGATCCTAGTGAAACTATGCTCCAGGGTTTCTTATTTAACCCTTTTAACTAAAGGGATTGCAGAGGACATCGATCAGATCAAGTTACAGATGGAAACTATTACTAACATCCCTGTACCAACACACCCATCTGCCTCCAACGAAGAAGTATACAACTTCCCATTTGAAACAACTGAATCATTGGAAGAGTTTGAGAAAACTCTTGAAAACAAGGAGACTTATCTGAAATTTGTAAGTCAGCCTAATTATTATATATAGAAGTTAATTATTTGTAACTCAACATAGATTTTTTCAGGTACGTTTCGTTTCACGAATAGGTGGGGATTCTCCCTATGAATTTATCAAACGGGTTATGGTTCGTCTTGTAACAAATGAAGTAGCTGCAAAATACTCTTTCACAGGACATAAAGGCAAAAAGCCAATAGGCCACTTTTTAATTGCTAAAGCATTAAAAGGTAAGAATACCATTTTTTTATTTTAATACATTGGATTATTTTATTTTTATATTTATATTTATTTATTTATTTATTTATTTATATTGTATCTATGTCCATCCAAAGATAAAATTGAATAAAATTTATATTTATTTCTTTTACTTAAACAATTTAGAAATATTTTTCTGCATCAAAAGTTGACTTTTTACCCTTGCTTCAAACTCAAATTCGCCTTGATATTAAGCCTAATAAATTCATAAAGGATCTACAAAGCTTTGAAAGCATTAATGAAAAAAATAACATAGGAAATTAACTTAATTGAGTTTTTAGATGCTTTTAGAAATGTCAAATCTTTGATGCATTGCACTGAAAACGACATAGAAAAAAAATTTAAGGATTGGCTTAGACATGCTCCAGCAAGGGCCCAGAAAAAACAGGAAGACCCTCCTAATGGGGCAGAAGAGGATATCGAAGAAAATAATCAATAATTATTCTTTTTAATAATGCTTAATAATAATTTAATAATGCCCAGTACCAATTTACATATATAGCCAAACAGTTTTTGGGGAAAATATCATTTCGTTTTTGAGAGAAAAGTACTTTAAGTTAAAATAAAATAAAGACTACCTATGTTATTCGGTTCTTATTTGTTGAATCACCCTGTTCTGTACGCATAATATTACAAAATTTAATTTAGGGATTGTCGTAAAAAAAATATAAAATTTTTAATTTAGCAGCAACTTTAATACTTACAAATGCTCAATACTGACATATTTATTTTCTTATTAAGTTTTCCATGATTTTTTCACCAGACTCTAGGGAGCTTTATTTGAATTGAGTGCAAATCTTTCACACTTGAATTTGCATCATTTTGACATATTTTCAAGAAGGATACATTCAGGCGTAACGCCTAACAGCCAATTTCATAATCAACTTAAAGTGAACTTTAAATTTAAAGCTCCCTTAAAAGTTGAAAATCCGTTTTGATTTTCAACTTTAAAAGAGCTTTAAATTTAAAGTCCACTTTAAGTTGATTATGAAGTTGGCCGTAAATGACGCAAATTCTAATGTGAATGATTTTTACGGATTCCAAATGAATAGCTCCCCTACAATAATAATAATTGTCTAATAACAGTCCTAGCAGAATATCCTGAAAATATTCTATAATGCGCCCAAAGTCATCCCTATATTATCCTAAAAATATCCCGAATAATCCTAAAAAGGTTGTCACAGGATGTCATGAAGATATCTATTTTAGTGTCATCTGGATATCCCATGAATATCCCTCTCTGGTTTTAGGATATCCCTAGGATAAATACTATATCCTTTGCGGATATTCTATGGATATCTATAGGATGGTATTGTGTTATGTGGGTATGATTTATGTTCACCTTGTTCCAATTGACTGTAGAAAAACTATACCTAAATATTAAAAGGAATAATCCTTTTATTTCTTATATGAAATCAATTAATTAAAATGTACACTAATAGAAATATTTATTTATTCGTCGTACAGGGCAAACTGCAGAGTATTTTAAAGGATCTACACAAACATCTTTTGGTGGAACATTTTCGAATGCAATTGCATTTCCTGAATCCTTAGCCACTATATAACGACAATTTTCGCACTGCACTTCTTACGCTAATTTCCTGGAGATGGAACATCACTTTCACCAAAGAAATTTTCTTATTGATTATCGTCTCACGATATCGATTTCTGTAACGTTTCAGTAGTATTCGTACTTTTACCAATGCGGTGTGGTAAATGCTAAGATTTACTGTCTGTGTCCGGTAAAAGTCCGAAATGAAAGCAAAATAACTAGTTTTCGGGCTTTTACCACTTGCTTTTGGTAAATCCTAGGTTTTGCGCGCTTATCCTAGGTTTTACCGAATTTCGGGCATTTACAGTAACATATATATTTTATTAATCTATTATATCTATTAATAAACAGCTCAATAATTATTGTATTTGATTTTTATTTTTCCGAATAATATTTCCTTGCATCCAAAATTTGCATTTTCAATGATTGACTTATCCGTAGGCAGTTCTTAGCTAGATCAAGGTAATATCGAGGGGCTCAGTGAACTTCAACGACGTCAGTTGTAATCAAGGATAATACACACTACTACTACTATTACAGGATAGCCTATCCTCATAAGCCTAATAATTTCGAATTCATCCTTGTCGATCAATTGCACGAATTCACCGCACTCTCCCGCTACGACGTCATGACAGAACCCGAAACGGCATTGAACAATCCCTTCCACGCAAACTCCACAAACAGGAACCTGTAATTTCGAACTCATGTCGCTCAATTGCACACTCTCGAAAGATGGCACCATGACGTTTGACAGATGACAATATGGCGCCGGCGCATCCACCTTCGTGTCAAGGATGGCGCATCTACCTTCGTGTCAAGAATGAAAGATTGAGGTTATGGTTGGATTTTTATGCTAGATCCCGTGTTAATTATCTACTCAGTTTTGAGATAGAGATTTGAATATTCACCTAAATTATGAATTTTGAACGAATGCCAGACATTTTGGGAGTGGGCGAATTTTCCATCACTCAAATGTTCATCATTCAACTTGTAGAATTTATCGATGGAAGGTAAAAAAGTTTCGTTCAATACTGAAAAATCATGGATATAATCATAGCAAAAGACACCTTTCTGAGTTGATAGTTGAAATTCTGCTTTTTTTTATAATCAGCAAGTCTTTTTTGTTCAACGTGGAGACAAGTTCGTCCCAAGAGGTACCCAAAAATCGTAGTGAATCGATGAATCTAAAACGCAACCCCTTATTAGGTTCCCTGTAGGTGATCGAAATGTATTGGTAGTGTGCAAAGCTCCTCTTCTAGAATGATTTCCGCACCAATAACCATGCTTTCGAACGCGCCCATGCAACTTATCGACTTTTTATTATTTCAAATTTACTTTACTTTTGCGCGCCGGCGCCCGCCCGTCTCATTCGAACTCCAACTTTCAACGGCCATAAAAGAAAGTATTATCGTTTAAAAACTTTTCCGAAAAAAAAAACTTTGTTCTTCATTGGTAAAGCAAAGATCCTATCACTAATTCTAAGTAAATATAAATGAAAATTTTACTCCAAATATGAACCTACTCTTCTGCGAATAATTTCCGCGCCGTTGGGGCTTGCGCGCCGGTCTCACTCTCATTCCAACGGTCATAAAGAAAGTATAATAATTATTTTTTGCTTTCTAGTCAGAAACCACCACTGTGGTTTGTCGACAAAGCCTCGAACATCACATACAAACCAAATCAAACAAACAAACATCCATGCACCTAGCCGGGATTCCAACCCGAGACCCACTGCATGCAAAGCGAAGACACAACCGCTGAGCTGCTTGGGTCTGCATATTAACATCTTTTTCAGATAAGCATTGAAAATGGGAAATTTGGCGACTTCTTCACTTGAGATGAGATTTCCCAAAGCGCGCATGTAAGTTTTGAAATAATTTGACTACAAAACAAACTTAGGGCTTAATTTTTTACTTCAGTGAACTTGCTATTGCAAGAACCAACAGTCATGATTTACAACTCTTAATGGATTGGATGATGTGCCACGCAGAAAAGTTGGACGCGGCTTCATTTGCTGGTGAGGCAACCCCATCAACATCATCAGTGAAGACCAGCTCAGCTCAAACTGAAACTGCAGGACCATCTAACACGTTTGAGAGTTCTGCAACCACCGGAACTTATGAAGTCACAATAAGAACTAGAGCCCTAGCTCTTGAAAAGTCAGACGAGCAAACCGAAGAAAGTCTCGATCTGTAACTTGTGAGGATTGCGGAAACAAGAAGATTTTTGGAACAACTGAAGAAATTGAGCTCCACACTGAGAAATCAGGTATACAATTTTTAGGACCTATTTTTCTTTCAAAAAAGCCCTTAGTCTGTAGGCGTTTCTAATACAAATCTTAGAAATTTTTCGTTATGCTAATAGGGAATTTTCATAAGAAATAAATATGGCTTTTTTTGTTTTTATGGTGTACATTTTTGTGTAAAATATTGAATATGAGCAGTTTTGTATTAAATTTGTAGTGTAGTTTAATATTAACACTAGGTATATTCATATTATTATTATTATCATAACATCATAATCAGGTCACCTCCATTTCACGTCATTAGTATTACCAAACTATGTAAACCATATTGTAACCATTATTCAGATCCAATATAACGTTCAAACCAATAACATCCGTTGTGTTTTATTAAGGATCATACATGGCGATCATGCCAGGATGGTGCCTAAGTACAATTTTTTTTAAGAACTATATTATCAATATCAAAAAAATAATTATTTTTGACCGGGCGCGCGATACGAAAAATAGACATGGGGAAAAGTTCTAGTAAACACGCGGAAGTGACTGATACCGGAGCGGTAAACTCGAATTTTATCGTTGAAGAAAACGCTGTTTCCGTACCACATGACGTTCGCGTAATATTGTATGTTATTGCTGCAGCCGTGTGTCTGATGACATTTTTGAAAGTGCGTAAATCGTATAGGAGAGGCCTGAAACGCAATTTGGGAAGAAGCATGGTGCTAAGAGCCAGAGCAGCTGATGATGTAGACGCTGTCGCATAAAGTTCGTAAGTCCTACACACGCAGAGGACAGCCGGTATGTACAAACTTGTTATTATGCCCGATGCTGAGTATACGTCCCTTGTCTCATCTGAAAATTGAGCCATTCAAAGATAGATAAAATAAAATGAAAAATTGATGCCGTAATAGAGCAGCTGAGTTCCCGTGTGTTCACAACTTTCATTATACAGGGTGACTGGTAAGTGGACGTATTCCTTTGAGGAGATGACATTAGAGCCTATTTGCTACCGATTAAACACTATTTACCTCTATACCATTCTTAACGGTTTTCGCGATATTTTCATTTTTCTAATTTTTATAAAATTCACTACCTTATGAGGCAAATATTTAAAATTAACGAAAATAATAAGGACCTTTCTGAAAGTCGTGTTTTAAATTTTAAGCTGACACACTGACAAAAATATCAGCATTGAAAATTATCGGAACACTAATGTTAACTATTGAGTTATTGCGGTTTAAACTTAACTTTTCTTGTTAAGTTTCTAACTAATGACTTATTTAACCCTAAAAATATCGAAAATTTCATAGTACTTCAAACGTACAAATAATTGGCAAAAGTACTCCATTTTATTGTCTCCAAGATAAGGTACATTATTTCAGAATTAGCTTTTTGCTTTCTTGTTAAATAAATTATTTTTATTTTAAGGAGAGACGATATAATTTTCAACAGAATTCTAATTTATACCTGTTTTGGATATCAAGTGTTGCAATAAAAATTTTATCAAATTTTTTAGTAGCTAATAGTAATAGTTTTTAGTAAAGAAGTAATTATTATTTTCTGCTTGAAAATTTTGAAATTTTCATAATAAATTACTGGCACTCTATGGCCAAGCATTGTTGAATGCATTCTCTTTCAAATAGTTCACAATTGGCACCTAATTTTTTCGTTCCATAATAAAACAATAATTACCATTTGAAAAAATGTATTTCCTATCATAATAAAAAAAACAACATTCTCAAAATGAAATGGAAAAACTTTTTGATACAATTTA